GGATAAAGCTGGAGGATTTCTTTGGAGAAGAGCCATGAGCATGCCTTTTGAGAGGCTGAGAGGAGAGCGTTCTTAAGAATGGGGAAGGTGGGTCCCAGAGGATGGGGAAATGGGTGCCATGGAATGGATAGGGTAGGAGGGTTGTTTCCGGGGTATAGGTATGTGGGGAAGGAAAGGTTTCATGTGAAGGGAAGGGTGTTTATCAGGGAAGGGGGGAATTACAAAGAAAGGTGAGGGCAGCTTGGACGAGACGCATAATACTGCACCATAGGAAGTGTTTACATTGCGCTTACTGCGTTGGTGATGGAATTTCTTGTGTCAACAGCAGAAGCTACAATAACATTTCTTTTGACGCAGGTCTGAGTCACATAATAAGTCTAACTGCCCCCTTACTCCTTAAGCCCCTTACCCCTTTACCCTTATTGGAGCTTCTGATTATTTTACCGAGGACTTCCGCTGACTACCCAGGCCACACCCTAAAACAAACACAGCATTAGATTCGACAGCTGGCCTTCCATTGTACATAAAAAATGAAGAGCACATCTTAGAACAGCATCACAAGATGTTTTTGAGTAGTTAATACAGAGACAGGTAGTAAACCTGTCTCAGGTTTACTACCTACCTACCTACTCAGGTTTACTACCTACCTACCTACTCAGGTTTACTACCTACCTACCTACTCAGGTTTACTACCTACTGAGACAGGTAATAAACCTGTCTCAGGGATAGAAAAATTGGACTAGAGTCTCTCCACTCTCCATGAACTTCACTTAATATCCTAGTGTTTGCTTTCATGTCAAGAGAGCAAACACTAGAACCCAAGACCCAAAATTTTTCTAATATGTCCTGATGTTTGCTCAGGTGTGTTTATAAACCAATTTGTGGGCATCTGTTACTAAGATTTATATTGCACAATTACGTAAGCAATGAAGAACTTCGAGAAAGAGGTAACGTTGCAGTAACAATAAACTAGAACGAAGTAAGATAGTGAAAAATATAATTAGGTGATAATATGTTAGGATCATCGAGAATGGACTCCGAGTATGCTTATTATATAATTTTTTGGGCCTTCGCATTAGAAGGAAACATTTCTGTGGCCTTCCAGTGTGTGTACTCACCTATTTGTTCTCACCTATTTCTGATTGCAGGGGTCGAGACTCAGCTCCTGTGCCCGCCTCTTCACTGATCGCTACTAGGTTCTCTCTCTCCCTGCTCCATGAGCTTTATCATACCTCGTCTTAAAGCTATGTATGGTTCCTGCCTCCACTACACCACTTGCTAGACTTCTCCACTTCCTGACAACTCTATGACTAAGGAAATACTTCCTAACATCCCTTTGACTCATCTGAGTCTTCAACTTAAAACTGTGACCCAGTGTTTCTGTGTCCCATCTCTGAAACATCTTGTCTCTGTCCACCTTATCTATTCCACTCAGTATTTTATATGTCGTGGAATAGATAAGGTGGACAGAGACAGGATGTTCCAGAGATAGGACACAGAAACAAGGGGTCACAATTGGAAGTTGAAGACTCAGATGAGTCAAACGGATGTTAGAAAGTATTTCTTCAGTCATAGAGGTGTCAGGAAGGGGAAAAGTCTAGCAAGTGATGTAGTGGAGGCAGGAACCATACATAGTTTCAAGACGAGATATGATAAAGCTCATGGAACAGGGTGTGTGTGTGTATGTATGTGTGTGTGTGTGTGTGTGTGTGTGTGTGTGTGTGTGTGTGTGTGTGTGTGTGTGTGTGTGTGTGTGTGTGTGTGTGTGTGTGTGTGTGTGTGTGTGTGTGTGTGTGTGTTGTGTGTGTAAGTGTCAGGTCTTGAGGTGTGGCGAGAGTCATTAGAATAACTTCAGAGTACGCACCACTGGCACATAATAGGCAGGTTAAATTCACCTATTCACATCCATTCATGCCCCTGTCCAACGTATTTTCAAAGCTGTTAAAAATTCTGTGATTATGGCGTAGATGAGAGGATGTGCGCGTCAGCGAATCTGGGATAATGTTTATGTACACTGGAAGGAAGTTATGAAGAGGTTATATAAGTTAGATTTTTTTTTTTCGCAGTGGCGCGTTGGACACAGACACGCACAGACACGCACACACACACACACACACACACACACACACACACACACACACACACACACACACACACACACACACACACACACACACACACACACACACACACACACACACACACACACACACACACACACACACACACACGCGCGCAAAAGAGAGAGATAAGTAATATAGATTTAAGGTAACTTAGTAAGCTGGAACAGTGTGGATGAAAAAGATAAAAGCAAATACCACATTTTAAGAGTTGATACGAATTTGAGGTACACGAATGAGGATAATTCCGGTTAGGCTAACTAAGGCTGCTTTACAATGCTTTCCTACATCACCTCCAGCCATCCGCTGGTCCTCTTGTGTACTGCGCAACATTTCCCTGCCGTGCCTCTGACATTTTCCCTGCCCCTGCTCTTTCTATTTCCCTACTCCCTAACCCTCCCTCCAACATTTACCTACTTCTCTCCTCTCATTTTTCCCTGCCTCCACACTCCCTCCTCCCCATTTTTCTCCTCACATTCCTCATCACCCCGAACATCCCCTCTCCTCTTACATTCGCCCAGCAACTATCCCCTTCCTTTGTAGTTTTTCCTCCCCCCCCCCACCTCTCCACGCAAACACAATTAGCTTGTTTAGCTGCTACACAAACAGGGAGTAGAATGAAATTAGCTCAGAGGGGTCCACATCACCGTATGTCCTTCGATGGCGGGTACAACATCTAGCTTGGCTAGATGCACCATTATTAAGGATTGCGTTTTCGCTCACCATGAGGCGGGCCAAAGCAACATGGGTTCGGCTCCTTGGCTAGTGCAGTGCTGATACATATACATATATTATATATTATATATATATATATATATTATATATATATATATATATATATATATATATATATATATATATTATATATATATATATATATATATATATGTACATAGTTCTACTGTCTTCAAGTTATGTCCTAGAATTTGTATTGATAAAGCCACTGGATGGCGAAACGTCTACAATAAAGATACCCAGATGTTGCATATGTGTCTTACTCTCATCTTGTCGGTATTATATACCATTCGTACATATATATATATATATATATATATATATATATATATATATATATATATATATATATATATATATATATATATATATATATATATATATATTCACTAATAACCCACATGTGGACAACAGAAACTCAAGAGATTAACTGGTCTCTATATTTCGACCCCCTTTCTGGGATCTTAGCAGATGGTGATTTCTTCCGAAATCTCATAAACATCATTAGGCCCGAGTGGAAAATCAACGAAAGTAGAAGCACTTTGAACAACGACCCTGATTCCTTGAAGGACAGTTGTGACTTGATCAACTGTATGCTTCCTCGAAGAAGCCGATTCTCATTTCTCAGGATTTGGGAAGAGGCCCTATATTCATTTTCTGCTCTTTGATAGTTCTGATGTCATCCAGGAGGGATTCTGTAGCGCCCAGAAGTGTGTCATCATCCGAAAACCAAATACTGAGCTCTCTGGTCAATTCTCGGTGACTTTTCTTTAGTTGGCCAGACAGAAAAAAGATTAAAGATTCTTCATTTCAGCATGATACAATGTGTGTACAGAGGCGGGTGACATTTAGGTGTGCATACAGGAAACCCCTTAGTATGCAGTGTATTTCGGGGAGAGAATCTCCCCTGCTGGACACCTTCACAAAAATTCCGGATTACTGTGGAAAAAAGAGTTCATGAATGGGTAGAGGGCAGAACAAATGACCATGAGCAGCTCTGAGTACAACGTTCACACGGGACGAGTTTTGTTTAAACTTATCATCGAGGGCACCCGGGACAACTGGGGTTCCTGATCTCTCTACCGCCACACACAGCTTCCCATGTCAGTACGCGCTGATATCTCCAACCTCACATTAAAGAAATCCCTGATCAAACGGAACTTCGCGAATACAAAGTACACTTTGCAAAATGTGTCAGCCTAGAAGAGATCAGGAACCCCAGCTGCCCCAGGTCGTCCAGGGGTCTCCTCGATAGCACAAGTTTAGACAAAACTCGTCCCCCGTGAAGCAAAGGGTCAATATATTGAAAGCGCACGACGTACAGAGTGTCCTTCGATGTCATTCTCTTCTCCACGGTCAAACCACGGACGCGCAATAATAGGAAGCATTCCTGTAGAGTCACCTTCGTCGTCTAGGTAGAAAGAAACGTAAATACATTGTTGCGCTTATATTCTGTGTAGCATGTAAATTTCCTCAAGATTAAAGAACGTGGAACGATGGAAATGAACTGTGTTTTGATTACCTCATCTCTGGGTTAATGACCAGTCAGATGACGCCATTCCATCTTTATTTTTATAAGGTTTTAAACGTGTATTAAGAATTTTCTGCATTTGTCGAAATTTCTACAATAAAAAATATATTTATGCATGTGCATTATATATATATTATATATATATATATATATATATATATATATATATATATATATATATTTATATATATATATATATATATATATATATATATAAATATATATATATATATATATATATATATATATATATATATATATATATATGTGTGTGTGTGTGTGTGTGTGTGTGTGTGTGTGTGTGTGTGTGTGTGTGTGTGTGTGTGTGTGTGTGTGTGTGTGTGTGTGTGTGTGTGTGTGTGTGTGTGTGTGTGTGTGTGTGTGTGTGTGTGTGTGTGTGTGTGTGTGTGTGTGTGTGTGTGTGTGTGTGCGTGTGTGTGTGTGGACCAAGGACTCCATCTCAAAAAACTCCCGTTTCCATTGGTTTGAACCATAATGGCCCCGTAAGAAAAACCACATGGCTGGAATAAAAAGTGAGAAAGGTTTCCGATAACTTCTGATATGACAGAGAATAAGAATCGGGTGGACCAGCTATGAACCGGAGAACACCGGCTGTCTGGCAGTGGATACGTAAGAAGTGGCCACGGGATGGGCGACTTCTTAGTCGTGGGTATATAAGCCGCTGCTCTTCCTCAGGTCAACACAATCAACGCTACGCAGTCCTCCGGTCACTGGTACTCTCTCAACAACATGAAACTTGTGAGTACCGTCGTTGTTTTTTAACACAATCTGTATTACGTAAGTTTATTATAGAGCTTCACGTACACAACATAAACATAATATACAAAGAATAACTAAAGTGCAATGTACCCCTGTTAGTGTTGAGTAATAACCCACATACAGAAAGAAATACCTAAGATTAATTGGTCTGTATATTTCGTGGAATAGCTTTGACGGCACACATAGACACACGAAAAGTACATTAAGTAAATTTAACTTTATAAGATAACAATAAATTCCTTGTAACGTATTTCTATTGATTCTTGGATGGAGGATCGAACCTTCACATTTCACTAAATATTTTTAATACTTCGAATATTTTTAAAAAATCAAATGACAAGTCCATTAAGAATCCATAGTTTTTATAGTATATTTCGACGTTTCGGAAAAGCTGAATTCATTTTCTGACACACTAACTTTTTTTAGCTAAAATATGTAGATAGTACCGGATGACCCACACGGGTTTAGCGACTAATGAAATACAAGATAATGACCGTGTCTTTTTCTTTACTTAAACAGATGAATCGTGGAGAAGGTTGTTAAAGGGTAAACCATATTTAGTTAAAATCTGTAATGTTTCTCTAAAATACTGAGCCGAGGTCTTCAAGTAGGTTACAGACTCACTGTGTAAGTCCTCTTCTTCGGAATGACAGTCTACCGGAACTTTTCTTCTTTACCAAAAGAGTGGTAATGAGGTTATGATTATCCAGTACCAGTAAACACCCTCGATGTTTCCACCTCCACTCACTACGAAACGTTGTCCTTATTTAGTACTCATAGTTCGTACATGCATCAAAACACTGATTGTTGAAATGTACTCTGGCTCACGTGAGACAGTATTTACACGTTTTGTTAATACGCAAGTCGTCTCAGATTTCTAATTGTGTCGGAGAATTTGACATTTTGCCGGATGGTAGGCGAAGGCTTGACCTGAACTTCGGACGAGTACCTAATTGGTACTGGCTACTTTACATGGTCAGAGTCGACTTCTGTGCCTTCACTGGCAGGCGAGGAACAGGCAGACGGTAGCCCGTCAGACCGTAGCCTCTCAGTAACTTTGCTGGTATTTTTTCTTTGCCTCATGAGCATGTAAGATGACAGATCACTTCTCTTGTGAACTTCTGCTTATATTCAGTACACTTAAATCTTGATTTTCCTCTGTTCTGTATATACTACGTTCTATATAAAGATGGAAAAATTATCTCAGTAGGCAAATTTGAAAAAGATATTTCAGTTACACCCCAAAACAAAATAATCAGATATTTAAATAGTTGATTCATAATTGTTCTTCATTTTTTTTCGGAAAATTATCATGTTTTTTTGTTTTCTACATATAATGAATTTGTAACGACGAATCGTTGTGTTACAACGAACTGATTTCTCTTCTGCGTATCGTATATTATTCATTGATATCACAGGAAACAGTTGATATCTTGCTTCCGTTGTATTTTTTAGTGTTGCTTGATAATGTGAGAAATCCCGGAAGCGCTGGGAATATTGCTCTTTTTCACTGTGTTTGTGTATAATGTATCGTATTTACGCCATTAACAAAGTTTTTCTACCATTGCAGTTGTCGCTGGTGCTGATTGTGATGGTGGCCCTGACCGTCGTCATAGGGTCAGCCCGTGCCATGCCAGGCCCCTACGCTCTGGCTGACGCTGACCCCAGTGCTGACCCACACTGGGGTTACCGCCGGTTTGGTGGCTATGGTGGATTTGGTGGCTTTGGAGGTTATGGTGGTTATGGTGGTTATGGTGGTTATGGTCGCTACGGAGGTTTTTGGGGTTAAAAGCTTGTTATGAGGTTCAAGCACTCGCAAGTGAAGGATCCCGCTGGATGACGACCAGTCATACAACAAACAACCCTACAACCACAAAATGCTTCAACTTGGAGATTCCAAACTTGAGAGTAGACGTACTGGAGGGCTCTCCTGGAATTAAATCTTATTGTTGACCACCAACACCTCAGTTCAGACCTCCAGTACCTCTACTGCATCTACTAGCTTCAACCGGTACTTTCACCATTCTGCAGAAGTTGCTGAAGAGTAGCACTCTTTATTAATTAATTTACAATCAATAAAAGTTTTTTTTTCAACAAAAATATGTCTTTATTTATCATAGTTTAGAAATATACTATTAATTTAGCAAAGTGATCATGTATATCAGGGATTCTTTTCCTCCGCCATTAACCCTCTCGGCTTGATATATTTCTTCATTTACTCCCTTACTTCCATACAAAAAAAATATCGCCATCATAAAGGGACAGAAAAACAAGGTCAGAAATGAAATAAATTTTTCACTTATGAGGTACATCAAATATTTACCCCTTACCATGTAATTTTTCACCTCCCAATGGGTAAATTTACCCCTGGTCGAGAATCACTGGTCGAGAATCACTGGTGAGCAGCGAAGCAGGTGTCATGCACTTGTCAACGATCATGGTACACACACGTACCTACTCTTTAATTTACAAAACATATCAGTTACTCATTATGTACTGACAGGTTCTGATCTAGGATCTTCGGTTCCTTCAATTGCTCCGTAGAGTTCTACCACTAATATTTGCTCGTAAACAATCAGACTGGGTATCAGAAAGGTTTTGATAGTCTTGTTATGTCATAAACCCCAACAAATGGATCTTAATGATTCTGACAGCAGTTAGTCTGCTATATCTGGGCACATGCTGTTATGAAAATAATTATCAACTGATTGGATTATTCTTATTTTTTTAATTTCTTGCAGGTTTTCCTTAAAAATGATTTCATAATACAGCCAAGGGAGCTGAAGTGAATTCTATGAACTAAATATTTGATGAGATTTAAGGTGGTATAGAGCCATTAATATTTTTCTTGAGCCTCAAGCAACAAATTATTAATATGTAGGTTATGTCCGTTACCACAGATGTTTACAAAAAAAAAAAGAGAAATCGGAGCTTACAGGCAAAATATAAAGCTAGATCTTCCACTAAGAACGACGCAACATTGAGGCGGGGAAGATGGCGGACCAGAGGCCTAGCCTCTCCCTACGAGCCCCGTGAGGGCGGGAAATGGAGTAATGCCTGGGGACAGTTGGTTCCAGAAGATGAGGATGTACTTGTACCTCCTCCCATGGGAGACAAAGGTTTCAGTCACTCCCAAGATAGGGAGCCAAGGCCGGGTCACCATCTGGAAAAGACCCGGACCGGGAGAGTACTGGCGAATCAAAAAGAAGAAGAAGAATACGTAACACTGAAAATTTGAAGCCGAAATGAGACTTTTCTAGGTAATAAATGAAAAAGTTTGCTAAATAAAATTAGCAATTTGAAACCTATAATTTCCAAATCTAATCCAAATATTTTTGTAAACCAGTCATACCAGCACTCAAAGTTTGAAGCCGAGCAGAGCATTCATTCTCTAGTTAAGACAATGAAACCAGCGTATTAATCTCTATTATAATTGACAATTTTGGATTTATAAAAGACAATAAAGATATAAAAATTTTTTTGACCTAAATACATGAGCAATGAAAAGTGTGAAGCCGATCAGGAGAGCCATTCTCAAGGCACCACGAAAACACAAGTAATTTATTTTTTATTAATTGTTAGTAAAGTAGTAAAATAGAATCTACACAGACTAAAGCTATCATGAATCTTCCCTTTGGTGAAGTTAAGTTTCAAGCTGTTCTAAAGAGGCATTTTTTAGATATTGTAAGAGGGAAAAAATGACATTTTTTTAAATCTAAATTTGTCAGACATACATTTACTCGGCTCGGTAAAAATCTAAACTTTCCTTTAGATTTTGTAAATGAGTTTAGAAAGTTTGAAGCCGAGCTAAAGAGGAATTCTCAAGTTATGCAGTAAAACGTTCGGGGAAGAATAAAAGAAATCCCACCAAACACTAGTAATATCACATTTAAACCACTACTGTTACTTTATGTTCTTCCTATTGTTATTACTTGTCTTTCCCTTCTTTATCCTAACCTGGTGTGCTTCCCCATTTACTCATGTTTTAATTCAGCCAAGAATAATCATCTTATTTTCTTCCTGTTTCTTCTCCCTATGCGTTCTTCACATGTTTAAATAATCGTTAATTAAATAAGCACAAAACAAAGCCGAACACGTAAATAAGTAAACCAGGAGACACTATATATAACCCGTAAATAAGCTACAGTGTTTATTTTGTACCCGTATTATTGAATTTTAAGTTTCCCAAATGATATCATATATGTTATTAAGTCGAAGAGGTACTGTGTACAGAACCTCGTCTCAGAGACCAGAGGAAATGTTTATGTTGTGGTGCTGTGTACAGAACCTCGTCTCAGAGACCAGAGGAAATGTTAATGTTGTGGTGCTGTGTACAGTACCTCGTCTCAGAGACCAGAGGAAATGTTTATGTTGTGGTGCTGTGTACAGTACCTCGTCTCAGAGACCAGAGGAAATGTTTATGTTGTGGTGCTGTGTACAGTACCTCGTCTCAGAGACCAGAGGAAATGTTTATGTTGTGGTGCTGTGTACAGTACCTCGTCTCAGAGACCAGAGGAAATGTTTATGTTGTGGTGCTGTGTACAGTACCTCGTCTCAGAGACCAGAGGAAATGTTTATGTTGTGGTGCTGTGTACAGTACCTCGTCTCAGAGACCAGAGGAAATGTTTATGTTGTGGTGCTGTGTACAGTACCTCGTCTCAGAGACCAGAGGAAATGTTAATGTTGTGGTGCTGTGTACAGTACCTCGTCTCAGAGACCAGAGGAAATGTTAATGTTGTGGTGCTGTGTACAGTACCTCGTCTCAGAGACCAGAGGAAATGTTTATGTTGTGGTGCTGTGTACAGTACCTCGTCTCAGAGACCAGAGGAAATGTTAATGTTGTGGTGCTGTGTACAGTACCTCGTCTCAGAGACCAGAGGAAATGTTTATGTTGTGGTGCTGTGTACAGTACCTCGTCTCAGAGACCAGAGGAAATGTTTATGTTGTGGTGCTGTGTACAGTACCTCGTCTCAGAGACCAGAGGAAATGTTTGTGTTGTGGTGCTGTGTACAGAACCTCGTCTCAGAGACCAGAGGAAATGTGATGAATGATTTTGAAAACCGACAAGTTGAAGATTGAGACACTTATGCAACATATGGGAATCTTTATTTGGAAACGTTTCGCCACACAGTGGCTTCATCAGTCCAATACAAAGCAGAAAGGTGTAAGGAGAGGAGGAGTTTGAGGTAATCAGTCCCTCAGCCTGGAGTCGATGTGTTCAGTCCATTATTCTTGTAGAATGTACAGCACAGGGCCATAGACGTGGCTTATATACTGTAGTCCATCAATCAAGATTGATGGACTGAACACATCGACTCAAGGTTGAGAGGCTCATTACCTCGTTCTCCTCCTGTTCTTCACCATTCTCCTTTGTATGGACTGATGAAGCCACTGTGTGGCGAAACGTTTTCTCAATAAAGATACCCAAGAGTTGCACATGTGTCTAATTTATCATAATAATAATAATAATAATAATAATAATAATAATAATAATAATAATAATAATAATAATAATAATAATAATAATAAATACTACTTACGCTACTACTAATATTATTTCAATAACAACAATAAAAAATATACTATTTATACTATTCCTACTATTACTACTACTAATAATGTAGTTTGGTTGGCTCCACGTACATTTGCTCTAGAGTTTTGACGCCACACCCAAAAGTGTATGGAGCCAAGTATATGTTTCATGGATTTATGCCGAAATTAGCCCCACTTTTTGGTCTCTGGGAAAAGAAACTGCTAAAAATTGGGGTTGAAATAAGACAGGGAACCAGCGTTCGTAAACAGGTAATATGCATCTCCTAGATTAAGGCGAAAAAAAAAAAAATACTCACCTTACTTGTATCGTTGACTGGTTTTCTTTCAAGGTCGTTCAAGAATTCGCTGAGCAATGGAATATATCCTCACGGTGCAGCTCATCCTCCGCTGGTCCGACTCAGTCCAAGTCGCAGCGAAACGTTTAGATTTTGCACTAGATTTTGCACTGCTGATAGATCTAACCTACTTTCTTATACATTTAGTTTATTGGGTTATTTTATGCAGCTGTTGGCTAATACACGTTAAACTAGGCGCGATATAAACGTTAGACTAACCAAACGTGACATAAACGTTAAGCTAACCAAACCTGACATAAACATTAAACTAACTAAACGTGGCATAAATGTTAAACTAACCAAACCTGACATAAACATTAAACTAACTAAACATGGCATAAATGTTAAACTATCTGAAAGCTCTATAATCAAGTCTGAGCGAACAGACGATGAGAAAAGAAAATATTAAAATTTCTGAAAAATTTCAAGTGTTCAGAAATGCACTACGGATAATTCATCAAATATGCACGATCTAACTGGAGAACAAATTATCCTAGTTATCCCAGGTATCCTAGTTATCCCAGGTATCCTAGTTATCCCAGGTATCCTAGTTATCACAGGTATCCTAGTTATCCCAGGTATCCTAGTTATCCCAGTTATCCTAGGCTAGCATGGGATAAATTAGAAACAGGTGCAACAGTTAGGGATCTTTATTCCGAAATATTTCACCTTCTCAGCAGTCTTCTTCAGTCTAATGCAGAGGATGGTAGCAGCAGTGGAGATGTAAAGACGTTGTCATCAGTCCATGAGCTTCGAAGATGTAGCTTTGAGGAGGTCAGTCCCTCAGCCTGGAGAAGAGTTGTAACATCTAAAGCAAGCAGAAGAATAGCTGGGACGCAGAGAGCTGAAATAATCTTACTTGTTCCTTCTTTATATTAATACAAAATAACTTTACCAAAGATAGAACTGAGAGCGCTGCATGCTGGGTGCAGAATGGCAATTTATACTCACAAGGGACTCGAGCACCTGCATATAGAGAGGACTTAATTCACTGGGTGAAAAATAACAATAGTAAGATCGTTTATTTGCAAATTAGAGTGACAGAAAATACTTGACTAAATAAACAAAGGGATTCCTTTTTTAATGTCTTTATAGAGGAAAATACTACTGACCCGTTGTCAGTTCGAATGCCATTTAATAAAGTCATCATTATCGAATTGTAGTTCCTCTGATGGATATTACTAGTAAACAACGAAATGCACAATGATGTGA